AAGATAAAGATAAAGATAAAGGTAAAGATAAAGATAGAGATAAAGATGAAGATGAAGATGAAGATGAAGATGAAGATGAAGATGCAGATGAAGATGAAGATGAAGATGAAGATGAATATGAATATGAACATGAACATGAACATGAACATGAAAATGAACATGAACATGAACATGAACATGAAAATGAACATGAACATGAACTTGAACTTGAACATGAACATGAACATGAATATGAAGGTGTAGATAAACATAAACATAAACATAAAAATTAAAAGCGATAGAGACAAAGATAGAGAGGAAGAAATTGATAGGGATAAAAAGGAAATACAACTGAAGAATGTGCGATGTTATATTGTGATGTGTTATGCTACATATGTTATGTTATTGAATCTAATGCTATTCTATGTTATGTTATTCTAAGTACTAAGCTAAACTCCCCTCCACTTAACCCATTCCAACAAATTTTATTTCAGCTCAACTCAACTCACATAAACTATCCTTAATTTTAGCGGTTGAATTTCAACCGCTGGGCGAACACTAGTTAAAATAAATAGATTAAACAACGGTTTTTATTGTAACAACATTGTCCTTATTAAATACAAATTAGTTTTAATTATTATATTAGCCTTTACTGGTGCTGCTTTCTGATAATTTCAAGTCGCTGAAGTTGTTTTCACATACAAATGATGTACCCTAGCGAGCAGAGAAGTGCCAATTGAAGAAGACTTATGTTAGGTTTGGTTGGGCGCCCAAGAACCTGAATGTATAGAATTGCGTTGTTGTTGTTTTAATAGCACACGGCGTATGATCTACCAAATTCAACGCCGTCATATTACCGCATGCAACGGCCTGGCATTCTCGTTTACTCACATTCCACAGCAACTGTTGTTTGTAATTTGATGTGCTTCCGATGTTCAATTTAATCAAAACGTGCTACTATGGCCCTTTAATAGTACTAAATGTTCAAATATGGGCCATTCCATTCTGACTGGTGGGAAATTTTACTACAGAATGAGATCAATGGTGAATTATAACTATGTTGTCACAACTTATACAACGGCGAAAGATATTTTTTGTCATAGAACGATAACTAATGCATAAAATTGCTTTAACAAAAATACCAAACGATTTCTTAGTTTTATATAGCTATCATTCGAATGAATGTGACTGGTGGGACTCTGAAAATAACTCTTATTTTACCTTTGTGCACTCAAAGCTGAATTTTAG